CGGGCGGCCGCCGTTCCCTTCGTTTTAGTATCCTTAAAAAAAGTGGAGTGGTATTTTGCCATTCCCCATCACGCTCGTTCAACAGGCCACCGTGAGGAGGAGCCAAAGGCCCGGTTAGGTGGCTGGGTGGGACAGAAACCCTTGAATGCAGGTGACAGCTTTGGGACATAATCTGCGAGGCGCCACTCATTATCACACCGTCATTTTAATTGCGAGTAGCCTCTCATCACGGGGGAGGTCGCAATGGCGAGCAATAGCAAGTGCCTTGTTGTTAATTGCTGTCATGGTGCTCTGGTATTGGAGGTAAAACCTGGCGCCCGCTGGATTGCGTGGGGTCAGTGTGGGTTTCTCTCCTTGGAGCAGGCGAGCGGACCAAGCTGCACGTTTTCGGCAAGTGGCACAGCATTCCCAGGCAGCAGGTGACCTACGGAGACCCAGAGTTAACGTACACGTACTCGGGCGTTACCTTTTCTCCGAAGCCGTGGATCCCCGTCCTCGACCGCATCCGAGACCGCATCGCTCTGCACACTGGACATACCTTTAATTTTGTCCTTATTAACCGGTACGTCTGGTTCCTTATCACATCGAGCAACTTCTTGCTAAAATGAAAAATTGCATGTGCAGCACCACCAAGAGATCACCAAGGAGCGATCTTCTCTTTTCACTGTACTGACAGAACTAACCGATCTGTTCTGTTTATAGGTATAAAGATGGTTGTGACCACATAAGTGAACATCGAGATGACGAGAGAGAACTGGTTCCCCGCAGTCCTATCGCATCCGTATCATTTGGAGCCTGCAGGGACTTTGTTTTCAGGCACTGTGAGGCCAGAGGGAAGAAAGCAACGCGCCACATCAAGCCCATGAAGCTGCAGCTGGCGCACGGGAGCCTGCTCATGATGAAGTATCCCACCAACGTGTACTGGTACCACAGCGTGCCCATCCGCAAGAAAGTACTTGCCCCAAGAATCAACCTGACCTTTCGGAAAGTGATGACTCTAACCAGCAAATGAAACATTTTGCAGTCGAGCACCTGCTATTTTGACTTTTAAAATGGGAGCCTTGTTTCTGGCATAACTGTCAGTTTCTCTTTCAAACGCTGTCTTTGATGATCCAAGGTATTGGATGAGGGAGTTAAACTAGAAGAGGGCATAGTGTCCTTAGAAACTTGCTAATAAATAAATTACTCATCTTAAATGACAAGACTGTTGTTCTCTCAGTAAGGTTGGCTTATAACTTAAAATGCTTGTTTCAAGATATTACCACACAAGAACAGTTACTTTTAGTAGTAAGTTTGTTCTTTTATTGCTACTGTACAGTTACAAAAATACCCTGAAGTGAAAACACAACTTCAAACAGCAGTGCAGTGGTTTGACTCTAATATACACTTTAAAATAATATACACAATAAAACAAGAATAATCCAAATACAGAGATGTCATCTTGGAGGTCTGTTTCCTGTCTATCTGATGTTTTACAACCTTTTACATTTTATTAACAGCTTTCCCACCATGGGAGCTTGCGGATAACAAACAGAGCACTGGAGGAGCTGCATGTGTCTGCACAGAGCCCCCTGAATTCAGAAGTGCAGCTCTGGTGGCAAATATCTGCAGAAATCTTTGATGCTCAGGTTAGGCTGAGGGTATCTAGCAGGCCTCAGGCCCAAGACCAAGGTGCTTCCTCCCTCCTCAGGAGGGCTAAGCCAAGCCCACCTATTCCTTCCTTTCAGCCAAGGCAAGAACAAGTGCAGTGTCCTCATCCTCATCTCTATAGCCCTTGAGGAAACTTCGAGAGTAAATTTGCAGCTGAGCAAAGAGCAGTTTATCAATGCCTTACAGTGACTGTGCTTTTATATGCATCCAACCGGCCCCTGCTGGAAAGCAGTTTTGTGCAAAAGGAAAAGAAAAATATTAAACGTCCAAACTTGCAGTAATAGGGGGCTTCATGTCACTCCTAAACTCATCAGCCTACAAGACTGTTAGTCCATGGTGCGTGTATACCCTGACCCAGCATTACAGCTTCCCAAACACCATCCTGTTCAGGCGAACTTCACAAAGATTCACGGAGTCGAAAACCTCTAAAGAGACCATGCTGAGAGCAAGGTATTCCAGAATATTTACTACTGGAAATGTTCTGAAGTTCTGAGGTACAAATGGTAGAATGGCTGGAGCTAGATGCTTTGCATGATACTTTTCCTTAGGTGATGCCCACCCGTGCTTTACACAGCTCCTACTGCAAACTCCTGCTGTCCAGAGGGGAGGAGTTTCCCTTCCCTTCCGCAAGTCTGTTAGGTGCCAGTTCAATGGCCAGGAAGTTTTTGGCATTTTGCATAATTATTTTCCTGTTATTTTTCTCCTAAGTTAAAATAGGAAGGTTAAAAACGCGCTACTGCTACCCTAGTACAGAGGAAGAGGTTTCTCAGGACCTAGTGTGTCAGTTGATCTATCTAGACTGCTCTGTATATTGTGAGCACTACTCGGAGCAGGCGTTGGGATCTGTGCTCTGGAATGATGAGAGTGAAGTATAGGATATACTATACAACAGAGATATGAATATTCCTATTTTGGCGGGTTTCAAGCCTCCCTTGAAAGGGCTCCGAATGCCTATGAGCTTCAGGCAGTGATATGAATACATTAGGTACAAAGTTGCTCTATAAAACTATTAAGACAGTTGTTAGCATTTGAAAACTTAGCTGCTGTTTTACACCAAAAAAGCTAGTCTGAGAATAAGTCTTTTTTTGCCTTCAAGGTACAAGGATAGAAAAGAGCTAAAAATAGCCTACATTCCCTATTCCTGATAACTCAGAGGCATTCAGATTTTTGCTTCTGCTCCCTCTGCGATTTGCCTGTTATTTTTTACTCAGTCTAGAGCAGCAAAGTGCAACGTACTCAGACCTCCATTGGATGGAAGTATTTTATATAGTGACACGAGTCTTTCCAGACTCCCGTACGACCTCACCGGACCCGTGCCTACCAGCGCGGATTCAGCCGTGCCAACTCCAGCTTACGGTGATGCCTGGGTTGCTACGTATCTCAGCTCACACTTACAACCTGTACAAGCTACACTGCAAGCTGGACAGCGTATATGTGATGAAAGATGGCAGTGCTCAGCATTGAAACAGGAAGGGTAAGTCTAGAACACCGACTACAGTAGCCTTGAAATAATAGCATTAAAAGGTGTAGTCAATACTACAAGCAATATTACTCAACAGTTTCATAGTGACAAAGGAAATTACAATACTGATCATTAGCAAAAGCTTCTCTCAATTTCACCTAAATTCCAAAGATACAGAGCAACAAATCAGTGTCTCAGGTTTTGATTAAAAATTTGTTATTTTTTTTTCTTGTAAAAAGAAAACTGCAGTTTGAATCAGTAGAGGTATTTCTATGATGTATAAAGAACTGAAATGTTTGGAAAGCAACGTAAGTAGGAAAGATTTTTTTTGGATCATGCATGCTACATAGAGATGCCTTGCTTTACTGATTAGCCGGGATATTAAATCTGATTCAGTTAGTAGTTCTTCCCATCATCTTGAGAGACATTTATCAGAGCACAGCTGACGTGCAGCAGACTCAGACAATGGTAACGTAACCATTCAAATAAGCTCAAGGCACTTTATTGTTTTTAAAATCATTGCCTTTGATAACAGCAGCTTCCTGCCAGCCACTTCTGGGGCTCACCTGTTAGAAACGTCTGCAGCGAAAGGTATAGGATTAAGCATCTCCATCTGAAAACTTATATAGGCCTCGGGGTAAAGAACATGGCCTTGGGAAGTCTCTGTTGGAAGTGTCTGTTTCACAGCTGTGATGCACACAAAATACTGCTGAAACAGAATAAATGCTTCTCTAATGCAGGGTCACTTCGGGCTGCACAACATCAGCAGCCTGCCTTTGGGTAGCTTCATTTTGGTACCAACCACAGCTCCCAGCAAGAGGCCGGCGTTGCCATAGGGCAGGGGGAAGGAAAAGGGCCTGCTGTGGGTCACTGCATGACGAACACGAGGTGCAACGTGGGTCTCAGAGGGGTTTTGTCCTTCAGCTCTCTCGGTCACTCCTCGGCTCTCAGCTCCAAGCTCTGGTGCTGCACCCTCGAGTGCACGCGCTCGTAGAAAAGCAGGTAGGCGCTGGAAGAAAGGACTTCCTGCAAACTAGCCTTGCGCACGGTGTCGTCCGAAATCCACAGCCACTGGTTGCTGATAGACAGCGGGTTCTTCGGAGAAGGCGGAGAGCGGCGGTAAGTCACAAAGTGTCCCGAATGCATGTCCCCGTGATGCACTACAACTGCCATCAGACGGTAACGGTAAACGGGGGAACTGGAGGGCAAAGGAGAAAAAGGAAGGGGTCAGCAACCTCGCAGGGCACACGCGTGGAGCCCCAGCTGCTCTGCGGGTAGCTGGGCTGCAGGGCAGAGCTCGGAGCAAAGGGATGGCGCCGTCACAGAGTTCTGAGAGAACTCAACCGTCCACTGGTCACAGGCTTGAAAATGCGTGAATGTTCCCAAATGGAGAAGCATCAAGGCGTTGTCTTACAAGATCTGTCTGAATTCATGTATTATTTTTTAAAATTCCAAAAATAAAATAAAAAAGAGGGGTAGGGAAGAACAGCAAGAATAAGGGCTTGGCTAATCCGGATGACTGCTGCAACATGAACCAGAAGACTCTGAATTTTGCTTGTAACATGTTCTACGCCCTTTTCTAGCAGGAGAGGGACAGAGCCAAAGACAACCACTAAAAATGAGCCAAAGAGACGAGCAAATGATTTCTGTACAGGACCCAGGATGGAAGTTAAATTCAGTGATTACACTCCTTCATGATAAAAACAGAACAACAGAACACAAAATGGGCCTATAGAAAGGTAAAAATCTCTAACTTACCTGTACTCAGGAACAGAAGGTAAATTCAATGATTACACTCCTTCAGGATAAAAACAGAGTAACGGAACACAAAATGGGCAGAGATAGAGCCTATAGAAAGGTACAAATCTCTAACTTACCTGTACTCAGGAAATGCAGTAAGTGGAAAAGTTCCCGGGGACATTAAAAATGAAGGGGAGCAGGCACCGTTCATAAAGAGTGACTTAGTGCTACACGGCTGCTCTGCATCTGCCAAAGAGAGTACACAGTGACTTAGCTTAGTGTTGAGTTACAAATACCAGTTATTCTCTTCCTACAGGACCTTTCATCAGAGAATAAAAGTATTATATTTGTTTTAATCAATTACATACCAGAATGCTGCAGAGATGTAGAAAAATAAAATATCCAAAGACAGTGGTAACTGTTTTTACGTGATAGAAACACGAAAGACAGAATCCTTACTATGTGGATTTTTGCATTGCCTAAATGACAGACATAAATTATTACAGATACATTTTCTACCTGTACAAAGCTACCATTCCCACTGTCCTTTCTGTGCTTGTGCCGAAACCTTAGAAGAGACAATTAGATAATTTTTAGGAGGGTGTCCTGATTACAATCTGCACTCATCTTTTTGACCTAAAATATGCCAGCTTCACGCCGTTATTTTGTTGTTTTATTTGGTTTTGGTTTATATTTAGCAGCTCCAAATTAAATAATGGAATAATTAAAAAACTGAACTGTATACCTGGAATGTACCCTGTTCCAAAAGTGGTTAGTTACTTGCCAGAAAAAACGGCTCTACCTGTCCTCTTATCACACATCCAAAGAAAGACACTGCTCTTAAATTCACTCTGCAGATTAGAATGCTTTTTTCATCACCAAAATGTAGAAATACATATTATTTTCAAATTAAATACCTGAAGGTTTTACTGCTGTCCCATCCTTTGTTTCAGAGGTTGTCTCTTCAGGGTTTTTCTGATTCCGATCATTCTGGCTTGATTTATGAACAGGAATGTGGTATTTGTAGATGTCCATGATCAGGAACTCATTGAACTGAACGTGCTCGTGGCGTTTGAGGGGAGTGCCTTGGTTTGACCAGCTCAGTCTTTGCAGGTGGATACACAAGCACTGAGGGAGCTTCAGCACGTTTCCATAGAAAAGGAAAGCCAAAATACATTTTAAATGAAAAGCAGCAGCTACAACAGTTAAAAACATAGTGATGGAACGGGGCCAAAATACATTTTAAATGAAAAGCTATAACAGTTAAAAACATAGTGATGGAACGGGAAAGCCTAGTGGATGAGGATTGGAATGAGTTGCAGTGAATTGTTGACAGACATTTGCTAATACCTAATAAACTATGGTTTGGCACAGTAAAAGTGCATGGGAGAAAAAAAAGGGCAAATAGTTAATAATAGTTAATAAATATCTGAATATTCAAAAGTAATCCCATGGTTAACCTCTGTCAGTCAGGGTTAACCTGAGGCTCTTAATTACCAGTGCCCTGTTGTCCACCACATTATATGATCACAGAATAAAGAGAGACTCATATAAGGGCTTCTCATCTACCTTGCACCTGCTGTTTAACAATGTATTCACTTGTTTAAACCTTCTGTATTCAGATTATTTTAGTTTCTTTGAAATGTGCAATCGCTAAACAATGTACAAACAGATGTGTATATGGATCACTTACCACGGAAAAAAAAATTGCTGCAAAACACATGAATTGCAACTGAAACAAGCTCGTGCTCGAGTGCTTTGTTGAATGACAGTAAAATACTCTCAAGTAAAACATTAAAGAAATTTAATACCAAAAAGTGAGTATCAAGCAAACAGACTGAAGAAAGAAATTAATGTTTAATAGGATTTAAAAATTGATTTTGAAGTTTAACTTGCCTCACCTTTCCTAGCTTTAATTGTTTAACAAATGTTGTTCTCTGGTTTTCTATACTCTGTCCATGCAGACTGCCTTCTGCCTGAATCTGAAATCATAGGGAAAAATAAGAGTCATTTAATTAAATTATTTATCAGCTTGCACAGAATCATACTGCAGGTTTGCACAATGCAAACAACGATTTCTTATCTGGAACTATGCTCAGTTCATTAATTACATTTACAGTTTTCCAAAAACTTTTTTTCAGAATCTGAACTAAAAAGTAAATCAAGTAGAAATGAACATTTACAGAACAAATAGATTCCAGACTTAAGTTTAGCCTCAAGGCATTTCTGTTGCTTTTGAAACAAATACTTAGGCTATAATTAAAGACAACTGTAAAATATTGTTTAAAATGTCAGAACAAGAAACTCACAAATATTCAAGTACAGAATAAAATAATTATCGATTTTGTAATATTAATAATAAATAAAGCTTCAAAATACTCTGCGAGGTAATGACCCATTTGAAACGTAGGAAATCACAGGCAGCCTAGAGGCTTCCTTAAGTCACAAGCAGAAGAGAAGAGGAGGGAGAGCACTGAGGCCCCAATTCTCCATCAGGGGGATTTAAATAGAGCTAGGTTACAGAAATTAAAATGACATACTTTAGTGCAATTGTCACATACAACATCCTTTACAGATTCAGAGGAGATGAAATGATGGAGACAGTGATCCAGTGTCATAGGACGACCCTTAGTATGAGAAAAAAAAAAGTTATTATTTAATTTTGTCAAATAAACAAAAAAATCTCTTTCACAGGAACTAAAAAAATCCAGACTTCTTAACAAAACTAAGTGACTTCAAGTATCAATCAAATATCATGCAACTAACTATAGGGATTCTTTTTTCTTGGCCTGGGATAAATGTGGAAAACACTGTAGACAAAGATAATAGCTATGACTGCCTGTATGACTCCTTTAGTGGGGTTTTGAAGAACAGATTTCTGGCCTTATTATAATTTTCCTCCAAAGTTTCAGTGCTTCAGGGGTCACGTCTGCACCCTCTGCATAGCAGAAATTTACATTTTGGTTACGTTTTAGTCAGTTCTTCCTGTCTTCCCTTGTATATATACTACATGCTGCAGGCATGAATGGAATAATCTTTAATGATGGCATAAAAAAAAAAAAAAAAAAAAGACAAATAGCAGGTTTGTCAAAATCCTAATCCCAGCAGCCCAGGAGAACAGCCCATTCCCAGCAGCCTAGGAGAACAGCCCATAGATGTGAGCCTACAGAGGGGAGTCCCAGACTTTCTGTGAATTCAGTTAGCTGTTGCTTGTCTGAGAAGACAAATCTCTAGCAGATGTTAGGTACCTAAATGTTGCAGTAACAAGGGACCCCATGAATTTTGTCAAAACAGTTGAAATAATCATTTGCATTTTTTTTTGCAAGTCCAGAGAGAAACAAGCAATTCCATGTTGAAACCACTTGACCCAAAATGCTGTCCATCTTTCACATGATCACCTCAAAGACAGACCTGTGGGCCACTTCCCAAGGCTGATGGAAATGCACAACATTCAGGACCTGATTGGGGCTGTTTACACAGGAAGGACCAAATCCCTCATCATGAGAAACAGAAAGCTCTGTTGATGCCAACAGTCACGCTTGTCATACCAACTTGCCCCAACCTGTTAATAGTAAGGTAGTATATCAGCACAAGACCATTCGTAAAGGTAAAAAATTAAACTGTAACTACTCATTAACACTTAGGCCTTAGCATCTTGAAAAGGCACCAAGAGAAAGCTGTGACTACAAGGACAGAGTCACTGGATCATGCGTCAGCGAGAGACACATACCCACATGGCTGCTGGGATGCTCAGTGAGAGGCTGTCAAACGTGTCATACCGCACAGGACTCTGCAAGAAAGTATTTCACACATGCACTGAGCCACAGTGTATGACAGTCCACAAAAACTAGCATCCCCTGAGAGGAATATATGCTCCCTGCTGGTATTATCTGGGGAAGGAGGCTCAGCAAATCCCACCCGTCCTCAGCGCCGTGCTGGGGACACTTGGTGTTGAGCAGAAGCTGCTATTCGGCCTGCTTTTGCTGAAGCTGCCCTGGCTGTTAATTCGTTTGCAAGTTTTTAAAAGTAGAAGTACTAAACATACTCTTACAACTTGATCTACAGATAAAATTTATTTTCTGTACTTTTGCTTTACCCAGATCATCTTCATCTCCTTACTCTGGATAACTGGAGTGCAACTTAATTAGGTTTCGCATTTGCATCTCAATCCCAAGTGCTGAAGGAACAGCTGGGTGACCTACAATGCTCCCCAGGTGAGTGAGTTTTCAGTGATCCTGAATAGCAAATGTAGTAAGACCATTATTATTTTATCCAATAGGATAGTTACTATCCTCACCAAGTGGATTACAATTAATTTTCTTCAGTATGTTTTGAGATACTTATTTGTTTCTCATTAATGCTACGTACATAAGTAACAGTCTGAGGTCTCATTCCTGCAAACATTTGGAGCTTAAATCAACTATATGAGATAGTTTCACCTCAGAATGTTCTCATTTGGGAATGTTCTCCCTTTGTTTTTGTGCATAAGTATTACCAGGCACACATTCTTACACCTGATGACACACAATCTTCTACCTGGTGTTCACAGTGTTTGCAAACCATGTTGCTAGTCAGCCTTCCATGAAAAGGATGCTGAGACTTCCAGTGATTTGACATAGGGGGAAGAGAACCTGAAATACAAAGTTTCAGTTGTCCTTTCATTTTTAACACACTTGTGTTCTTCACTATACTTTCAAATTTTTGGCCAATAATAGCAAAAGGAACTACTTCTAAAACATATTCTGTTCTACTAACACTCAATGGTATTTCACTGCAGAAGATGTATTTGAGTTCAAAACAAACAAACAAAAAGCCCCAAAACCAATTCATACCATCCTATTAATAAATGACTACACTACAATTAAATACTCATAATTTCAAGATGGGGAGAGGAAAAAAAAAAAAACCCTTACCTCTTGTCCTGCAGTTTATTTGCTTTTGGGTTATTTCTGGCTGCTACAAAGGGAAATAAAAGATTTCAGTAATCCCACCTTAGAAAGCTTTTAGTATTAAATATTATTTCTCCAGTTTCATCCTTGATATGCTTTCCTGACATTTGAACAATTGCATGTGTGTTTGGGGTGGGGGGGGGCTGGCTCTTTATTTCTTTGTATTTAGGAAGACAAAAAAAAAGATACAGTGAATACAATTGCTTATCCTTTGCCAGAACTATTGATTCATTTCTGTGAGAATACTGAAGAATAGCATTGAAAATATAACAAAAGCATCTTCGGGTCCTAACTAGACACTTTATGCTTTGCACACTAAGGAATGTGGGCAGACTATGAAGTACTTAAGGAAACAGCGTTGGTCACCTCCAGTGAATGCACATCAAACAAGTGCGTGACGCGTGGCTGACGCTCCCGCTCGTCTTCTAGTGAAGAGGTAAGGACATGAAATAGTTCATGAGCATCCTAGTAAACAGAGGCATAAGCTTTAGAGGAAGCCAGAACGAAAGACATCAAAACATATCTCAAGAGTATGTGTGCATATATGAATCTATCACTGCAGCAGTAAGTTAAAGAAAAAAAAAAAAGTATTGTTTAGACCCCAGCTCATGTTGTAATAATGATTTGAGCATGTGCTGCAATTTTGCCCTAAAGATTTTCTGTAAAGCTAAGCACTGTAATAGCATACACTGTTAAAAATATTCTGGGTCATATAAACTCAAAGGATACTAAAATACTTGCAGAAAAAAAGAAAAATGAATTCACAAATGCCTGTTTTCCTTGATTTCAATGACAGTATAATCGAAATTATGCTATTTTCTTTGCCTCTGAAACATAAAGGAGAGAGAGAACCACGTTTTATGAATAAGACAATTTATCATGTTCATTGGCCAGTTGCACTTACATAAGAGTTGAAAATATTAATAACAAAAGAGAGTATGCCATATGGAACGAAATTTGGAAACCTTAATGGAATAGAGCACATCCCTGGAATCAGACAGGTACTTCAGCACAGACCCACAATCCACAATAAGGTTAGGGCTGTATTCCTTATACCTTGGTATTACTGTTTACATTGTACCAAATCTAATGGTAATTAAGAGTTTTTGAGGATGCCACTGATTCCATGTCAAATATCTAAGCAAACAGAAAACACAATTCATCAAGCACACAGCTGCCTTCCTGCACTGTTTAAAGCAAACTTTTCACTCCAGTGAAGACTCAGATTTGTCATTCGGAGCTGTTAGTACCATAACTTACATAAGTTATCTGTTATCCTGTATCTAAGCAAGGAGGGCTATACCAGGCAGTCTAACTCGGATTCTGTAATCACCTGCTCTTCAAATGAGGAGATCTGCCACCTGTACACTCTTAGCACTTCTAGGAGGCAGCTTGCGTCCAGGACATCATCTTCTGTTACCTCTTGGCAAGATAAAGCTAGAGACAGTGCATTTTAAACTGTTAGATGGAGCCAGCAGGAACAGATAGAAGGCAAATCTGTATATCTGAGTGTTTAGATTACTTAAGCGTAATACAATTGATTACAGCAGAGTTATTCTTGATTAAGACAGGTCTACAGGTACACTTAGACAATCACTATCAAACTAGTATGTCTTAAGAAATTACCATTCTCATCTGGCACAGAATACCTGACTATACATTCTTCTGATATAGCAGAGAGTGAAAGGTGTCTCAGCTAAGTGATACAGGAAGAATAAAGGACACAAACACTGTCTGAAAAAAATTACTTGTGGATTAGATAAAAAATAGGTACTTTACATGTCACAGAAACACTGGTATTAAAATAGCATCAGCCCTTCCTCATTTAAAAAATACACGCTTAACTGGCACAATTCTGGGGATGAACAATATCTAAGACACCCAAACTTCCAATGCATTTCCTTTAAAAAACAGCCTTGCATTAATTTTCTTTCATAACAAGCATCTGATTGCCCCTTTAATTGTGACAACAGTAGTCCATATTTCTTCAAATGTACATCCAAATTCATGTTCTAACAATATTTGGTGAAGAGCAGCCTCAGTAAAGCCAGACATCTTGTGGCAGCACACACCATACACATTTTCAGTGCCCCTGCTGTCCTCTGGCCAGATTTGTTTGACCTGCTGGCCAACGTGTGTGATCCTTGGTTGGCTGCAGGTCAAAGAAAACCTGAGACCTTTCAGCTGCTGCCAGTGAAACAAACTGCTCTGGGGACAAACACGACCGTGCGTTAGCCAGGTTTGATACAGGCACCTAACACCTTTTTGATCTCTGATTCTGTGAAATTCATTTGAACCTGGCCAATGAATTCCAAGTTAATAGAGGCCAACAACAAAAAGGAGGCAGCAAAACCACATCATCTTCTTTTCTTTAGGAAACAAGACTGGAAACAATAACTTTTAAAGTAAATACATTTGTAGTTTTCCTAACATGAAAAGCTTAAAGTGTCTTACCTCTTAGAAGATGCAGCAAAGTAAGGGACAAATATTGATGCTCGGGGGACTGGCTCTGGTCTGTCTTGTACTGTGCTGTAAATTCCTCCAGCCACTTGATGAAGGACGGACACGCAGACAAACCTTGCAGCAGGGAGTTCATGAAACACGTGTTTCCTAAGTTAAGGAGGCCAGGTACAAGCCCTGCCAAAATATAGGTAAGAACTACGCACACAGCACCAAGTCTAGGAAAACATTACTATTTTCAGTAGAAAATGCTATGCTATATTCTAAAACATCATTAAGATGAAGTTATTTCAGTTTATTTTGGACTTGTACACATTAAGACTTCCATATTTAGCATATCACAACATGAAGTATTTATATATGCGACACTTTCTGAGAAATATATCATTCAATTTTTTTTTTGAATTTTCCCTGAAAAATGTTCCTTTTTAGATAGTAGCATATTTTCATGGCCAACGCCAACGTTCAAGATTATCTGAAAATTACCGTATAAAAAGGAATTTAAAACTGTAATGTGCTTATTTGCAGATCTTAAGGTGGAAGCCACTTATTGCACACATTTAAAGGGAGCCACAGGCCGCTGCTGCTCTATCACACACTGCAGCTCAGCCCTCAGGGTTTTCCTTTGCTGAGATGACTATCAAGGGTTAATAAAAGGCAGCTCCACACAACTTGGCTTAGCAAGAGCCTTCCACTTGCCTTGTGCAAATATCAAATAAGGAAACACTCGTTTTACACTTATTTTTTAAGAGAATCATTTGCAGTAGTTTGCTAAGGAACTTAACACAAAGCAGACACACAAAACGTGGCCGATGCACCTGATTTTACCTCAATTCCAGCCAAGGCAGTTAATAAACCACAAAAGCAGAGCAAGGTCTTTATTCGATACAGATTTGTTAATGTTTTATGCCAAGTGAGGACATAGCGAGGAAAGCTTTACCTTTAGTAAGAGGAAAGCTTTTCCTGAAGCTAATAATGATTTTAAAGGCAGAAACACGGGGGTTTCTAAGGCAGAGGGCTGCTGGAAAGGCCCCTGGGGCTGGCAGGGCTCTCCCTACCTCTCCTGCGCCGCCTCCGCTCCGTCATGGGCCCCCAGAGCACGTAAATCCCCGCGGCGGCGGCCGCGGCGAGGCCCCCTATGACGCCCCAGTTCTTCATCACTTTATACCTGCAAGGGAAGAGGGGAGAAAGAACGGGTGAGAGGCCTGGGCCGCGCGTGACGGCGCCGAGCACGTATATAAGGGCGTATAGATATATAGGGAGATATGTGAGCGCGCAGATGTCTGTGAGGGGAAAGGGCCGGGGGCGCCGCGGGCCGCTCCGCGACTCCC